CCTTAGTTTGTGCAATATTCTCATTTAATTATGCATGGTCTAGTTCTTTAAACAATAGGAGAAGTCCTCAATTTGTGACTAAACATACGTAGTAGATTTTTTTCAAAAATAGGACCTACTAGTTTTAAATACCTCAAATATGATTTTTTATTTGTGATTAGACCAAATTAAAATACCATCATAGGGGTTTAGCGTAGTTGCCGCTGGACCGCCGCCGCTTATTGTTGGGAAAAAAATCTTACAGTTCTCCAACGAGCTTCCAGCGCCTACCGTCGGCTACCACCACCACGGACCGGTCCCGCTATCAACGAACTGTCTTAGTTATGCAAGGTAACTAGAAGACAATTAATGAGGTTAATTTAATAATTAATTAAATTAAGCATGACAATGGAATGATTAGACGTCCTATTTAGAAAAATCGTTAAAACATATGGTCCTAAATTTGGAATGGAGGGAGTATAATTTGGAATTATTTTATTCAACTATTTGTTTCTAAATTTAAAAACTAACCTGATTAGTTTTGGGTAGCTCTTATGGTACCTATAAGGTACCATACCTTGTCCACATGGATCAATATAAATATTATAGTCTGATAGGTACGATACTTCATTTTTTAATTGAGTATCGTAATTCTTACCTTAACTTTTGTGAAAGAATTTAGAATATTCTTCTATCTTTAGAATATGCTTTAGAATATTTTAGGAATATACTCTAGAATATTATTATTGTATAGAATCTTAAAGGAATATTCTATCTTTGTAATGTATATATATATATATATATATATGGCCTTAACCCTCCAATGAAATACACACAAAATCCTTCTCTCCATGTTCAATATCATTCTAGCTTATACTTTAACATGATATCAGAGCCTTCTATTTCAGTTTAGTTTTTTTTTTCAGATTTCAGTTCGGTATTCAGGCTGATTTCAGATCAGTATTCAACCTGTGTTCTTTCTGTGTTCTCAGTCATAGCCTTATTTTTCTTCTTACTGGGTTCTGTCTCCAAGAACTTTAGTTAACTTCAGAACTTTACACACCGTTCTACCTACAGAACCTCTACACACCATTAAACAGAATCTCTGTCCAGACCCTCATTCCAGAACATCAATACACCTTAGAACCAGAACCTTAATCAGTTGTATTTGTTTGTTTTAAAAAAACAAGGAAAACTACAAAAAAAGGAAAAAAAGGAAAGAAAAAAAGAAGAATGTCTTGTACGGGTTCATTTGGCAAATGAGTAGTATGCAATTATTGCAAGAAGCCCGGGCACTTGATCAAAGAATGTAGGAAATTGCTATTCAAGAATCAAGGAAATCAGCTTGGTCATGTTGCTTCCGCTACCAGTTCGTTTGATGGATCAATTGCTGTTTCTTCAAACGAGTATGCCAAATTTATTTCCTACCAAGAATTTCTAAAGCATTCATCTGTCCCTATCTCGGTAGTCGCTAATTCAGGTATTTCAAACACATGTCTTGTTTCCTCATCCTCGAAATGGGTCATTGACTCAGGTGCCACAGATCATATGACTGGTAATCCTAGTCTATTCTCATCATTTCATTCATATTTACCTACTTCTAGTGTCACTTTAGCTGATGGATCTACCTCACCTGTTCTTGGATCCGGTACTGTTAACCCAACTTCTACATTACCATTATCACCTGTTTTGAGTCTTCCTAATTTTGCATTTAATCTGCTTTCCATCAGTAAAATCGCATGTACTCTTAATTGTTCTGTAACATTTTTTCTGGATATTGTGTGTTTCAGGATCTGTTGACAAAGCAGACTATTGGTAAAGAACATGAGTCGGCTGGTCTTTATATTTTGGATACATCAATCACAAAAGGTATCTCCTGTCTTGGGGTTGGAAATCTATTAGAAGCTCATTACCGATTAGGACATTCATCTCTCCCACTAATGAAGCAAATATATCCTCAGTTTAATAAGGTGTCATCTATACAATGTGAGTCGTGTGAATTTGCAAAACACCATCGTACTAGTTTAAGTCCCCGACTTAATAAGCGAGCAAACGCTCTGTTTGATCTTGTTCATACTGATGTTTGGGGGGCATGCCCTGTTGTGTCCAAATCTGGTTTCAAATATTTTGTTACATTTGTTGACGATTATTCTTGTATGACATGGTTAGACTTTATGAAACGTCAATCAGAGTTATTTACTCATTTTTCTGCATTTTGTGCTGAAATTAAAACTCTATTTAATGTTCTTGTTCGTGTGTTGAGAGGAGACAATGCCCAAGAATATCTCTCTGCTCCATTTAAATCTTTTATGCTTCAAAATGACATTATTCATCAAACTTCATGCGTAGACACACCTCCTCAAAATTGAGTCGCTGAAAAAAAAGAATCAACATTTGTTAGAAACTGCAAGGGCTCTTCTATTCCAAATGAATGTGCCTAAACAGTTTTGGGCGGATGCCGTGTCTACCGCTTGTTTTTTTGATAAATTGTATGGCGTCTTCTGTTTTAAACGGTAAAGCTCCTTATCACTGCTTATTTCCAAATAAAGAGTTTTTTCCTATCCCACCTAAAACATTTGGTTGCACTTGCTTTGTTAGAGACGTTAATCGTCATCTTATAAAGTTAGACCCCAAATCATTAAAATGTATTTTCTTGGGTTATTCTCGAGTTCAGAAGGGATATAGATGTTTTTGTCCAATTACATGTCGATATCTTGTTTCCATTGATGCATCATTTCATGAAAATATACCCTTTTCATCATCCAAGATAGATATGCATGATGACAATGATGAAATACTCATTTACTCTGTCACTATACCGGAATCTACACCATCTGCAGTTATTCCACATGTTACGGTTCCCGACCCCAGACCTCTAGTACACTTGGTTTACATCCGTCAAAACGGAGTACAAGATCACCCTCCACCTATGGTTACTTCTCCTGATACTGATCCGATCTCGATTTCATGTCCTGAACCAATACCTACATCTTTAGATCTTGTCTCTACATGAGATCTTGACCTCCCCATAGCACTACGTGAAGGTACACGGTCTTGTACTCATCCTATTTCTTCATTTGTGTCATATAATCAGTTATCATATGCACCATGTTCTTTTATTGCTTCCATTGATTCTATTTTTGTTCCCAAATCTGTTAAAGACGCTTTGTCTCATTCTGATTGGCGTCATGCCATGGAAGAGGAAATGAATGCTTTGAATCTTAATGGTACTTGGGATTTGGTAGACTTGCCTACAGGGAAGAAGTCTATAGGATGTAAGTGAGTCTTTGTTGTAAAGATTAACCCTGACGGATCCGTTGCTCGGTTGAAAGCCTGATTAGTTGTGAAGGGTTATGCTCAAACTTATGGTGTTGATTATTCTGACACATTTTCTCCTGTTGCTAAATTAACATCTGTCAGGTTACTTATTTCTCTCGCTGCAACTCATGGTTGACACTTACATCAATTGGATATTAAGAATGCATTCTTGCACGGTGATCTTGAGGAGGAAGTTTGTGACATTCCAAAAATTTTAATAAAAATAAAAATAATTTTTAGTCAGATAAACCATAAAATATTACGGAAATGATATTTTAATTATTAAATGAGTCAAACAAAAATTCAACAGTCGTGACATTTCAATCAGATAAAATTGCGAAATTTATGACGTTTTAGTCAGATAAAAACATTTTAATGAATAAGAACCAGACAAAAAATTAACATTTGTGACATTTTAGTCTGATTAAAATGGTCCGATAAAAGAAATAACATTTTATATCAAGTACCGATTATACATATGACATAAAAAGCAAAAGTTATATTTTTAACAAAAATACAAAATACAATATATACTCCTAATATATAACTACGTACGTACTATTATTAATACATAGTAAAGATGCAAACAAAATCTGCGCAGCGTGAATCTAAACAAAAAAAAAGAGCTACATTCAAGCATGGATCAAGCAGGACTCTATCGATTATATCCCAACTGCCGGCGACTCCTACGCATCGTGAGATACCAACGGAGGGCAGGAGAAGCTGTTTAAATTAAACTCAAACTCTAACACAACCCGGAACCCTCATTTTTCCCTATAAATAGCAGCCTTAACCTGCGTTTTATTCACACCAAGAAAACGATCAGTTCAGTCCCATATATATACATATATACGTATATATATATATACTCTATTTTTTTCGACCATTCATTTTAGCCAGAACCAAGCCCTGAAAACACTCTAGAAACCTTCCCCTTCGTGAGACGAATCCAACGGAGAAACAATCGTGGAAAACGAACGTCGGAGTAGGGAGATACAGCTCGCCGGAGTTTCGCCGAGGAAAAACCTTCACGACGGAGAACGGAGGAGAAGGGACTGCCACCGCCGCCGCCAGTCCATCACCGACTGTTACCGTCCATCAGGAGTGCACCGCCACCGTCTTTGGCCGCACCGTCGAGGTAAAGCTCTTCTGCGTTTTTCTGGCCTCGTTTCCGGCGTCCTTGCGAAGAAGACGACCCAGCCTAAAGGCTAGGGTCTGATTTGCTGGACTGCTGTTTTGGGCCTGTAAATTAAAATAATTTGGGCCAGCCCGGCCCAATTTCAGTAAAAATTAAAAATAAAATAGTAAATAAAATAAATAAAATCTGGAAAAATATAAATTAAACACCTAGTATAAATATATGTATTCGGACCAACCAGAATTGAAAGATAATATTTTTAGCTATTTTTAATTGATTTAATTGTAATTGGGCCAATTTATACACATTTAGTAAATAATTAACTAAATGACGAAAATAATTGTGAAATAAATATTGGAGTAAACTAGGATAAATATATGACTAACTAGGACCTTATGGACCATTTATAATTAATAAAATAGTATATTTAATTGTAATTGACCCGGTTAATAGATATATGAAATTAAATGAATAATTATGGAAAATAATTATAAAATGGATATCTGGACAACCTAGGTCAAATATAGACCCAAAATATAGTTATAGACGGATTATTAATTTATAAAGTCGATTCTTAGTCTATGTAACTTAATTGGGCCACATAAAACTAGTTAAGTAATTAAATAAGGAAATATTAATATTAATGGTGAAATAAATAAATCACTGAGATTGAAAATAATATTCTGGACTAAAAATGATGTTTGGAATAAAATAAGGAAAATAAAATAAGGTTGGGTTAGCTAGCATAAATAATTGACTATATGTAGACTTAATAAATAACTTAATTATGTAATTAGTGGACTAATTCAATTAATAATTTTTATGATTTATTATTAGAGATTCGGACTTCATATAAATATTTAAAATATTTGAACTCATAAATTAATGGGTTAATATAAATAAAGTAATTAAATAATATTTTATGAGTAGAGTAAATTAATGGTGATTATTGAATAAAAGATTGAATGTTGTAGTTAATTATATTTGGATATTTTATTTAATATTAGAATTAAAATATTGTAATTAATGGCTGAATTAATAAGGTAATTTGATTAATAAAAAGTGATTAATCAAATAAATTCGAATAACTAATAAATTAAGATTAATAAATTCGAATAATAAAATAAAAGGAGAAAATCGGGTAAAGTAATTACAAATAGAATAAGTGACTAATTTTATCATATTTAATTAAAAAGGTGATTATCTAGAGACCGGATTAGAGGAGGATAACTAGGGGCATCAGGACTTAAGGTAAGTTTCTCTGCCAATCCAAAATTGTTTCCTCGTATTATATGCTTATTATGCATTATGTGATTAAGTGTGAATTGTGAATTTTGTGTATGTCATTTTGAGGAGATATTATATATATGGTAGTTAAGAAATATAAATCAAGTACTTTTGGGTTATTAAATATTTTTAAATACCTTCGAGACTTTTTAGAGAAATTAAGAAGTATTTTTGAAGTATTGTTAAGCGAAGATAAAATTTACATTTTCATAAGAAGTGAGCATCTCGGGAGTAATCCGAGGTGTCGGTTTTCCACATCCGGATAAATGTGGAGGGTGATTAGAGCTACTACTACTAAGAAGTACAATTTAAGTTTCAAGTGACATTTGGATCTATGATCCCTTTTAAGAAGAAGTTATAGTAGTAGTCCCTAATCATTCAAGAATTTTAGAGGTGGGGTGGTTGGGTTCCGACCACTCGGGATGACTTACTACTCGGAGGGCTTGGAATCCCTTTTAGGGGGTGTGCACACTTAAGGTAGTCGTTTCGTTTCCGCAAGAGCAGTTGTGGTACCAGCACTTGTTCGGGGTGGCCGTCCGTAACCACGGTCCACCGGGCTCAGTCGAAAGGTTGAGCACCGCCCTTCTAAATTACTAGGAAGTTAGAGAATAAGTGATTTTCTTAAGAAGTTTAAAGAGAAGAAATACTAAGAGATTTTCGAAGAGAAGTTGAGGATTTTAGTAAAGAAGTAATTTTAAGAAAAATCAAAGAGAAAAGTATTTTGGTGGAGTGCGTCATTTTTATATGATATTATATAAAAATCTATTTTAGTCAAACTTGAGTATTTTACGGGGTTGGGTAGTACTTACTTAGCTCTAAAACTAATTTTTGTTATTTCTCTTGTCTCTCTCTTCTCCCTTAAATTTTATCAGGTGATGAGTTGGATGCCTATGTGGATTGATGGATTGATCGAGCTTGAGTGCGAATTAGAAGATGTCTTAGTTAAATTTAATCATGAAATAAACATTTATTTATTATTTCATTAGTTTTAATATTTTTGTTTGGATTGTCTGTGCATTCGGTTAAGAGATGACCGGATGTGGCGGTAACACTCATTTCCCCTTTAGACTTCCGCTGTATTTCTTCAACTCTTTGATGAATGAATAAAGTATTTCTTTTAAATATATCATTGTTTTGGGTGGTAAATTTGGGGGTGTTACAAAGTTTATATTGAGCAACCTCCGGGGTTTGTTGCTCAGGGGGAGAATAGGAAAGTCTGTCGACTTCGCAAGTCTCTTTATGGTTTGAAACAAAGTTCCCGTGCATGGTTCGGGAAATTTAGCCAATCAATTGAATGATTTGGAATGATAAAAGGCAAATCAGATCACTCTGTATTTTACAGACGAATGAAAGCAGGTATCACATTGCTTGTGGTATATGTCAATGATATTGTGATTACAAGGAGTGGTAATGTAGGTATTTTGGCCCTAAAGAATTTTCTTCATAGTCAAAACCAGACAAAAGATTTGGGCTCATTGAAATACTTCTTGGGGATTGAGGTTACACGGAGTAAGAAATACATATTTCTATCTCAACGCAAATATGTGCTTGACTTACTAACTACAACAGGGAAATTGGGGGCAAAACCGAGCAACACTCCCATGATTCCTAATGTGCAACTCACTCATGAAGGTATACCATTCGAAGATCCGGAAAGATATAGACGGTTGGTTGGAAAACTTAATTATCTCGCAGTTACCCGTCCAGATATTGCATACTCAGTGAGTGTAGTAAGTCAATACATGTCATCTCCGACAGTTGATCATTGGAAAGTTGTAGAGAATATATTATGTTACTTGAAGGGGACACTAGGACGAGGTATTGTTTATCAAAATCATAATCACATGAGAATATAATGCTTTGCAGATGCTGACTGGGCTGGATTTAAGGATGATAGAAGATCCACATCTAGCTATTGCGTCTTTGTTGGTGGTAATCTCGTCTCTTGGAAAAGTAAGAAGCAGAATGTGGTTTCTCGTTCAAGTGCTGAATCGGAATATCGGGCTATGGCACAATCATCATGTGAGATAATCCGGATAAACCATTTATTGAGTGAAATGGGGTTGAAGACATCAATGCCTGCTAAACTTTGGTGTGATAACCAAGCTACTATGCACATTGCCAACAATCCAGTGTTTCATGAGAAAACAAAATATATTGAGGTCGATTGTCACTTCGTTCGAGAAAAGATACAACAAGGATTGATCTCTACAGGATATGTGAAGACCGGAGAGCAACTTGGAGATTTGTTCACTAAAGCACTAAATGGAATTTGTGCTTGTTACTTATGTAACAAGTTGGTCATGATAAATATATATGCTCCAACTTGAGGGGGGGTGTGAAAGACTTTAGAATATTCTTCTATCTTTAGAATATGCTTTAGAATATTTTAGGAATATACTCTAGGATATTATTATTGTATAGAATCTTACAAGAATATTCTATCTTTGTAATGTACTAGTATATATATAAGGCCTTAACCCTCCAATGAAATACACATTAAATCCTTCTCTTGTTCAATATTAGGGGTGGAATTTTGGAACCGGGAACCGTTAAATCGGTTGGAACCGAACCGTTATAACCCGGTTCGGTTCCTACAAATGAGATATTAGTTGTTAACGGTTCGGTTCCTAGTTGTTGTTAACGGTTTGGTTCCTAGTTCCTATAAAAAATATATGCACGGAACCGTTAAGGAACCGATATTAAAAATATAAATATAAAAATAAAAATAATAGTAGAAGTATTAGTAGTAATACTAATATAACAAAAATAAACACAACAACAACAATAATAAATAAATAAATGATATTTAGCCAATAATTTTAATTTAGTCTAATCTATAAAAACAAAAATAAAAAATATTTACACATGAGGTTGAATACATTAACCTCATTTTTACAAATCAAGTTTTGTTCCATCAATAGGATGTACATGCAAACTCAATGTATTTCTAGGTTTTGAGAGGCATAAAGTGTACGTCCTATCCTTGCCACTATAATGATGAGCAACCTTCATTTCAACGACATAACGAACGATTTTTATATTTTATGTATTAAATGAAAATTAAAATCTTCTTTTTATTCTATTAAGTGTTCACTTAAGTCTGAGCTTTGATGTTTGGAGTGATTAGAACTCTAAATAAATGTTTATGACTTGTTTGGACTTTTTGACGTTTTCATGTGGTAGAAGCTAAACTATGTGTTAATTCTTACACGAAAAAAAATATTCTAGGAACCGATAAAAGCAAGAACCGAACCGTTTAGTATTGATTCGGTTCCATATCGGTTCTTGATTTTTATATAGGAACCGAACCGATTTCATTTGTTAAAATTTAAATAACGGTTCCACTATTTTTGAGTAAGAACCGAACCAGTCACAGACCTATTCAATATCATTCTAGTTTATACTTTAACAACTTTAATCTTATAAAAATTTGTTTTTTCGACATATTTAATAGGTAGTACATTTTAAAAGTGACTAAATAACAAATACTCCGTAGTAAATACCACAAATGAATTTACTAAAATGATAATGCATCATAGATTCATGGGAATTTTTCACACGTAGTCCAAAAAATAAAAGTAATATCATTTTTTTCAGTTTTTAAAATTCCTATCAAACGTAGATTAATTCTAATTTTCTTTTCACAAATAGCCAATATCTATGAAATCTCCTACTGGCTACCGGAATCTACATTACTAAGAGGTGCACATGCGTTCCAACTTTACGGTCTATACGGCTACACCATCTTTGATACTCACTACAAACTCTAAAATTGATTCAATTCTTGTTTTTAAATATAAAATAATGTAAAAATTCGTAAAATGTAGAAAAGATGAAAATAGGTGGAAAATTTTCTAGAGAAACAGAAAATACTCAATTTAAGAAAAAATAAATAACGGAACGATAAAAAAATCAAAGTTGAAAACTCTTAAATTGAATTTAAAAATTTTTAAAATAAAATTTGATTTTGAAAAATAAATTGGGGAAATATAAAAAAAGTACAAATAACTTCAAATAAAAATTGTTAAAGTAGGAAAATAACTTCAAGTAGGAAAACATAAAATTCATGTAAATACAAATTAAAAAAATTGTTTTTTTATCGTTAAAAAAAAATTAAATAAATTGTTAAAAAACAAAATTAAAATAAAATAACTTCAAATAAAATTAAAAACACTAAAAAGGGTGAAAAGTGATTTAGAAAATTGCAAAAAATAAATTCTCGTAGATAAAAAAAAATTGGAAAAGTTAGAATGAATAAAAGGTAGAAATGTTGTAAATTGTAAAAATGTAAAGAGTATAAATCTTTTAATTGATATTTTTTATTTACAAAAAATAATTATTATTACAAAGGCGTATTGTGGTTATTTTGTTGCAGATTGTTTCAATGTGTTGCTTTTGTTGATAAATTTCCAAATTTTGAGTTAATGATTATTTATATTTTTTATTGTGTTTTATTTTCCTAAGCGTAGCTTTATTACTATTATTATATGTGTGGGTGCATACATACGTACATTTATGCACATAGTGGAGCACACACATATATGTATAAAGAGTTATTGTAAACAAAAAAATAAAACTAAGAGTTGAAACATACATAAACATCAAAAACAAAAACAAAATAAAAAATTAAAAGTAGTAAACAAAAAACTACACAATGCAACAAAAAGAAACAAAAAGCAACACATGAGGCAAAACAAAAAGCTACACAATGATACAAAAAGCAACAAAAAAAAAGTAACATATTATAGTATCCAATGAATAAATACGTTAAATACATGCAAGTAAAACGTATTATGGTTATTCTGTTGCAGGTTGTTTCAACGTGTTGCTTTTGTTGATAAATTCCAAATTATGTTTTAATGTTTATCTATGTTTTTATTGTTTTTTATTTTCCTAAGTGTAGCTTTATTATTATATGTGTGGGTGCATACATACATTTATGCACACAGTGGCACACACATATATGTATAAAGAGTTATTGTAAAAAAAAAACTAAATGGTGAAACATACATAAACAAGAAAAAACAAAAACAAAATTAAAAATTAAAAGTAGTAAACAAAAAGCTACACGATACAATAAAAAGAATAAAAAAGAAACACATAAGGCGCAACAAAAAGCTACACAATGAAACAAAAAGCAACAAAAAATAAAAATAAAAGTAACATATTATAGTATTTAATGAATACTATTGGTTACAAATTATATCTGGTTACAAGTTAAAAACAAGCCTTCCCGGTTTGTCCATTCCAAACATGTACAATCTTATCACAAGAAGCTATTCTATTGGAGGACGTTGATATACTAATATCATTCACAACCTGGAAGAAGATAAAGCTATTCTATTGCATACATACGTACATTTATGCACATAGTGGAGCACACACATATATGTATAAAGAGTTATTGTAAACAAAAAAAATAAAACTAAGAGTTGAAACATACATAAACATGAAAAACAAAAACAAAATAAAAAATTAAAAGTAGTAAACAAAAAACTACACAATACAACAAAAAGAAACAAAAAGCAACACATAAGGCAAAACAAAAAGCTACACAATGATACAAAAAGCAACAAAAAATAAAAAAAAGTAACATATTATAGTATCCAATGAATAAATACGTTAAATACATGCAAGTAAAACGTATTATGGTTATTTTGTTGCAGGTTGTTTCAACGTGTTGCTTTTGTTGATAAATTCCAAATTATGTTTTAATGTTTATCTATGTTTTTATTGTTTTTTATTTTCCTAAGTGTAGCTTTATTATTATATGTGTGGGTGCATACATACATTTATGCACACAGTGGCACACACATATATGTATAAAGAGTTATTGTAAAAAAAACTAAATGGTGAAACATACATAAACATGAAAAAACAAAAACAAAATAAAAAATTAAAAGTAGTAAACAAAAAGCTACATGATACAACAAAAAGAATAAAAAAGAAACACATAAGACGCAACAAAAAACTACACAATGAAACAAAAAGCAACAAAAAATAAAAATTAAAGTAACATATTATAGTATTTAATGAATACTATTGGTTACAAATTATATCTGGTTACAAGTTAAAAACAAGCCTTCCCAGTTTGTCCATTCCAAACATGTACAATCTTATCACAAGAAGCTATTCTATTGGAGGACGTTGATATACTAATATCATTCACAACCTGGAAGAAGATGAAGAATAAATGTAATTAAGTCTATAATGTGTATTATCCCCATTACAAGTTAGTTGTGTTGAATGTTAACAGCGTAGGTGAGGTTCAAAGCAAACACTTATTAATTGAAATAACATATAAACAGTAACACAAATGAAGAGCACATGTTCATGGATATAGAAGCTGGAGACAGGGTCCAACCTTGAAAACTTCCATGTATGAACTAATCCTAGGAAACTTGCAAAACCACCGACCTGCTGTGAAAATAATGCACTCATATTTGCAAACTCCTATAGATCTTAGAACGCCATGATGTGTTTGAACAGAATGGAGAATTGATGCTCTGATTTTCCATGGAATTTCATCTCTTGGGCTTCCATTTGATCTGGTTACAAATTAAGGTGAGAAATCGAGTGGATGCAAAACATACATAGTATTAGACAAGACAAAATCACAAAATTATCAGTGAATAAAATAGAAGTAAAAGCAATCTATAGAAATATATAGATAAATGATCACCTCTATGAAATGCCACTAGCGGTTGGTTCATCGTCTCTTCAGTTTGATACATCAGTTCATTTTTCCTGTTGTCATTGTATGAATAAACTCTTA